CCAAAGTTCAAGTCCAGCCCGGTCAACTTGGCAACTTGGTGGGACCCTATCTCAAAATAAAAAATAAGACAGGTCTGGGGCTGCTGCTCAATGAAGGCCCGGTTAACCCCCTCCACCCCCCTAAAAGCCGGGGAGGCAGTGCTGAGTCATGAAAACAAAGCGTACAGGACTGTGTAGCTAGGCCGGCTGTGCACACAGAGCTGTTTCCCCAGCCTACACGTCTTAGGCGGTCTCATTCTTTCCTCCAAGCAGTGTTTACTGATCACACCCGTCCCCCTCTCTAGGCCCAGGCTGTCGGGGACCCAGCGTTAAGCACAGCGCAGTACCCCGGGAGCATGGCTTCAGTTCCAAGATGGGAGTCCTGCGAGAGGGCGGACAGGGCAGGAGCTGTGCTTCGGACTGTGCCCCCGCGTTCCCAGCAGGGTCCGCAGCCTGGGCCTGGGCACCTGTCCAGCCTCCCTTCTTTCCACCGGACCGGACCTGTGTGGCAGGGGACAGGCATGCTGACTAAGCAGAACAAACAAAGCACCTGCTCCAGGCACTGCGGCCGGGTGACAAATGATTCCAACTCTCCCTGGCTTCAAGCGGGGACCACGTTTAATTCAGCCGTGGATCTGCCGCAGATGCCAGTGACGCTCCATGTGACACACAGGGATCCAGGGCTGCATAGGCAGCAGGAGCAGAGCTGGCCCCCTAGTAGGAGCTGGGCCTTGGGCACCATCTCGGTACATCTGGGCTTCTTCATGATACTGGGCAGGTGGGGAGCCTGTGTGTGTCATTCTCTCTGTGATCACCTCAACAATTGGCAGGCTCTGCCACTCAGGGTTAGGTGGTTGTGAGTTACTTCCTGTCCTCTTTCCATATTCTACAGCATGGCTGCAAATGACGGCCTGCTGCTTATTAATAAAGTTTTATTGGAACACAGCCGTGTTCACTTGCATGCTGACATTGCCAACTGCCCAGCTCTTGCTCTGAGATGGATGCTACTAGGACCCCAGTTTACAGAGGAGCAGAAGAGGCACAATCAAGACAGTACCTTTTCAAGGTAGAGGGCACCTGCTTATGAGCTGAGTGCCTATGTTAGTGAATTTTTACTTTTTTTTGCATGTGACAGGCAAGCACCCTACCATGTGCTACAAACCCAGACCTTTTCTTGTTTTGAGACAGGGTCTAAGTTGCGCAGGCTGGGTTGGAACTTGTGATCCTTCTGCTTCAGGCTCTTCAGTAGCTAAGATTACAGGTGTACGTCTAGCTTTTCTTTATTTTTAATTGTGATAAAAGATACAGAACATAAAATTTGGCCTCACAACCATTTTGAAGCATGCAGTTCGCTATTGTTAAGCACATCCCTGCTGTTATGCAGCTGCCACCACTGTCTACTCTTGAACTCTTTTCTTTTCTTTCTTTTAAAATTATTTTTAGGCAGAGTCTTGCTATGTAGTCCCAGGCTGGCCTTGAACTTGCCTCGATCCTCCTGCCTCAGCCTCCAGATCACTGGGATTACAGGGATGTGCTACTGCGTCAGCTCCAGAACTCTGCATTTTGAAAACTGAGTCTCTCCTGCTACACACGATTGTTCCTCCCCTCCTCCTGGCCTGGCACCCACCGGTCCTCTTTCTGTTGCTCTGGTTTCCCTCCTTTAGGCAGCAGCTCACACTGGAGGAATCTTGTTGTACTTGTCATTTGCCGCGTGGGTTATCTCACCCCACCAGTCCTTGGGCTCAGCAGACTGTCCCTCCCCTCAGGGCCAGTGACATCCCCTGAGCAGACAGTGTTTGATGGACCCATCCATGGCGCGGCCCTGGGGTTAACCCTGCCGCTTCCTGCGCTCACGGGATGAGGTCACCCCGCAGCCCGCACCTGTGTCCCGGAATGCTGAGAAAGTACAGAGGGACGCAGT